TGCCGCCATATCCGACCTAGAAACATCGCGATTTGCAGCCGTTACGTCGCACTCCGCGTCCAGCGCGGTGTTGTCACATGTCCGGGGAAATGGGAAAAACCGCACTGGTGAGCGTGCGTACGACGTCGCGCTCGAAAATGATGTTTCTAGGTGGTAGATGGTAAAGAGGGACAATGAATAACCAAAATAGCCACCAATGTCTACGATGTCGTGATCTACATGAAATCCGGTGCTCTACTCGACAGACCAACACGAACTGAGGTAACGCCGCCTCCATCTCCGCCCAACGTAGTGGCAAATTACGACTGTATTGACCGCCCCCCCCCCTAAATTAACAACAGCTGGGCTGACATTTGCTCAACTTGCATGTGAAAAGGTCCATGTATCAGTTTTACGGCGCGATCGTGGACCGGCGATCACTGCCAACTGAATTGTTATCCTCAAGTAGGAGCTGCCTAACTAATGAGTTGCAGAGGTATAGAGCTTTGGAAGTGTATTCCTTTCCCCAATATTTTGTTTTTCTTTGTTTGTAACGGGACCGTATTTTACTGACGAGTGTAACTGGGACACCATGCACCAAAGAAGTCAAGAAATTTCATCTGAACCGTCAAAACACATTACACGAAGAAAAGGCATATTAGTAGCCCCAAAAAGAACTGAATGACTTGTCCAAGAAGCTTACGAGACGACCAATAGATAAATAGTTAATTATAATCCATTTTCCACAGAGTTATAGCCTGTTATTCGGAACTCCTAGTATTTCCTGCCCATGAGTAACCTTTAGTGATATTTGCAACAAGCCTTTACATATAATCCACTGCGGAACGTAGTTTTCAATAGCAATTCAATCGATCAATAATGTGACTCGATAATAAACCCTCCGTTCCTATTACTGTAGTGTAGTTCGCTGCGAACGGTTGGGCGTGTCAGGCGGGATGAGTTTGGCGCGGTGCCAAACCCGTTCTCCACCAGTTGTTAAAGCGAGCAAATGATATGACTGTATCATATCGTTCGTATTACTCGTTTTCTACCACTTTTTGTCGCATGCGCGCTTCAACAAGAAGGCAAAGAACTGCTTTGACGGGTGACGCACTCATACTGCCTGACACGCCCAACCGTCCGCAGCGAACTAAAGGGTCGTGCTGAGGTGAACTAGCTCCAAGAAGCTCTAATAACTCACCTTGGCATAGTCGTAGTCATCGTGCCGAATGCCAAACAGAGCATGGATGTAGTTCCAGATAGCGTATCGGTACACAGTTGTGTCGACATTCTCGTAGCCACCCATGCTATAAAAGGGAATTTGAAGATCTCATAGAAACACCGTGGCTACAGTTTCCCTATGTTTGTATTTCTGTGACATCGATAATGGGTACTGTTCGGCAACAGGGGCGGGGGAGGGGGGGGGATATTTTGCACTTTCATCATAGTATTCATTGCTTTACAAGAGTTGACCAGTAGTTTCTACACATTTTCATACACTCGCCATTGGAGGGTCGTAAGCCAGTCGCTAAATATCCTATATCGCTGATCTTCCAGATCGACACGACGCTCCCCTCTTCGCAGATTCCCTATTCAACAGCAGTGCAGAGGGCGATCGTAGCCCAACGAAGTCACACCGGCAGCTACTCTATGTAAGATCACAAAAAAAAACACTTTTTTTATGTCTTTGGTTCGTATGTCCGTTACTCGCGAAAAAGTACGATTCTTGTTCTTTCTCTTGAATTCCCGAAAAAAACAACGTGAACACCGTAAAAAATTCCCTTCTACAGCATGTAGCGACATGAAATTAGTTCGGAACATAAAACTTCTGTAATCCTTAGAAATAGTTGAACTTACAATGAATATGTGAGCTTCTGTGTTAGTTCAAATTTCTCATCAAGCTTCTGTGCTGATTCTGGTACAAGATCGTTAAGGATACTGAACCCGTGATGATCCCATGTGAACTCCTATACGAAAGGTTAAGATTATTTTCCAAAACTAAACAAAACAAAAGTAGGTACTTATTCATCAATCCTTACATGTATCTTGAAAGTTT